AACTAACTACGTAGTACGTTAAGTAAGTAAGTACGTTAGTTATTATATTATTATATACTAACGTACGTACACTAGAATACGACTCGACTATATATATATATATATATATATATATATATATATATATGCACTTTAAGATGCATGGCATTATTTTTTATATATTTTATTTCTATACATTGTCGGATGAGATTCAATCAGGTTCAGGTCTAACCTAGGCCTAGTTAGGTCGATCCAAACCCAACCTAGTCCATTCCAATCCTATGGTATTTCAAGTGGCAAAAAACTTCCCCAAGAAATTTTCATCGTACTCCCTCTTCCATTACCTCCTCTCTTTGCTTATTATTGTTATTTTTTTTAAACCCACCTTTCGAATCCATATGGGAACCGGTAAAAAATGAATCGGTTATGCGATGGTCGGGATTAGTACCCGATTCCTTCCTAACACCCCCTATACATTTTGTTTTCTTTTTTAAAGCTTAATATTTTATGAGGTATCCATGTTCCCAACCTATAAATACTTATTTTAATTTTATTTATTTATTTATTTATTTTTATCATCAATTCGAACCAATCTAGATCCGATCCAAATTTTTGATCCAACTAAAACAATACGTATATGTAGATGAACGATCTGCCCCACCAATCTAAAATTTGAAACACTGTTTTTTTTTAGACAAATGTTAACACCAACAAATTATTTTATACTGCGATAACATCTTTTTTTGCACGCAACCTATTTCAACCCTTCCTTGTACCACCCAAATGAATTAGTTTATTAAAAAAAAGCTGTTCTTTGGAGGATCTCGAACTTGTCTTGAATCTCACCCTTTTTATGAGCCGATAGGAAAATCGCGAATCATTGAGCTTTTCGACATAATTAAATAGATTGCCATATGGGCACCATATTCTAAGAGCCCAAATCATGTGGTTGAATAAATCCTCTTTTACTTTGCATTGAAATCTTTGATCAACAATAGGACAATATCTATTTTACGTCATTTCTAATGGATTTTTTGGTTCAAACTGAAGAAGCAATGTCAGTCGATCATTATTATATTGATTGCAATATTTCTCTGTCAGTGAGGATCTAATCAAGGCCCTTTTATATTTTCTTTCCTTTTTTTAAAATTTATGTACTATTTTCTTAGGTCCCCTCAATGTCCCCAACTTTTAAATCCCTATTTTAATTTTAATTTTATTTTAATTTTTATTATTTTTTAGATCAACAATTTTGACCTATTGAGACTGGATGTGGATTGTTGATCCAACAATCCAAAACGAATATAGATGAATGTTCAGCCCCACCAATCTTGGAAAAAGTCTATATAAAGTTGAGACCTATCAAATGAAAGAGTACCTCAAAAATTCACCAGGAGAGGTCATTTTGATGTCGAATAAATCTCAAATTAATCATCTCGACTTCGAGATGTATAGAACGTGAAAAGAAAAAATTTCAAGTTTGGAAAATAGTGCATCTTGTAATCTATTTTTTGGGCTGTCAATTTTCAATATTTTTTAAATTTTTTATAGATCCACTCGATCTACTTCATTTTCATAATTTTATAATTAAAAATAAAAATAAATTTTCTAACTTTCCAAGCCATCACAAAGAGTTTTAAAATTACCTTTCGACACCTTTTAGAGATATCCTATCAAAAAGATTCGAGACACTGTTTTTCCATCTTAGAGTTTAAATAAGGAAAAAGTTTATATAGAGCGAAGGTTCTAAACTATGAAATTAGATCCCACTTCAAAAATTTCATTAAAAAAGCTGTTTTGATGCTCAAATATCCCTAAATTGATCTTCTCGAATAAAGATGCATGGGCATGAGAAAAAAAATGGATTTCAAGTTTTGGAAATAGTGTACCTTGTAACGTATTTTTGGATCATGAATTTTCAAGATTTTCAAATTTTCATAGATCTGCTCGAACTATTTTTTAAACTTTAAATTTTATGATTAAGAATAAAAATATATTTTAAAGCTATCACAAATATTTTCAGTATTTGATGCTCAAATATCCCCAAATTGATCTTCTCGAATAAAGATGCATGGGCATGAGAAAAAAAATGGATTTCAAGTTTTGAAAATAGTGTATCTTGTAACGTATTTTTGGATCATGAATTTTCAAGATTTTTAAATTTTCATAGATCTGCTCGAACTATTTTTTAAACTTTAAATTTTATGATTAAGAATAAAAATATATTTTAAAGCTATCACAAATATTTTCAGTATTAAAATCACGTTTCTTCATAAAGTGGGTGTACTTTGATTGTTTAGTGCCTCGGCTCTATACAAACCACGACAATAGTTACCGATTAACAAAGTACGTTATACCACACCAGCCATCCTGTTTTGCACGCACGCTATTTCACCCCGCCATCTCTCTCGGCAAACCGGCCCTCACGCTCGGCCGTGGACCTGCCGGCATCTTTCCCTCTGTCAGGTATCTCTCTCTCTCTCCAACCCTGCATTTCTCTCTCCAACCCTGCATTTCTCTCTCCAACCCTGCATTTCTCTTCTCTCCAACCAGCGTTTCTCTCTCCAACCCTGCATTTCTCTCTCCAACCCTGCGTTTCTCTTCTCTCCAACCACCGTTTCTCTCTCCAACCCTGCGTTTCTCTCTCTAACCCTGCCTTTCTCTCTATAAAATTTTATACGCTGCCCAGGTTCTCTCTGTAACACTCCTCTTTAAGACTCTAACCCTTACCTGAAAGATAGAATCTGATAGCAACAAGGATCTTGCCGTGCCATAGAGAATCTGATTGAGAACTGGGTACTCAATTCTTCTTTATAATTTCTTGGGAAGAAGAGAATATAGATTATGGTGGTGTTCATTTTTCTTTTTGCTGCATCAAATTTAGGTTGTTGATGTTAGATTACATGTGAATGATTAGGTTTGCTCTCTACTCTTCTGTTGTAGAAATTCCTTTTTTTTTTTTGCATGGATCTCTTGTAGCTACGTTTATTGCTACTTTACTGTTATCTATGAGTGTTCTGTGGGTTTTTTTGGATTTAATTGGGCTACATATGTAAATTTTATTTCCTACTTAGACAATTGATTGAGAAGTTTAGGTCAAAGGGGAAAGACCTGCACATGGTATTTATTAATCTAGAGCAAGCACACGATAGAGTACCTCGAGATTTAATTTGGCGGGTCTTAAAAAAGAAAGAAGTCTCCAGATATTGCATCGATTTGGGGAGAGATATGTACAAGGGAGTGCTAACTAGTGTGCAAACAACTAATGGAGAGATGAGTGAGTTTTTAGTGATAATAGGTCTTCATCAGGGGTCATTAAGCCCATACCTCATTGTCTTAGTTATAGACGGTTTAACTAGGCACCTACAAGAAGGCACCATGGTGTATGTTGTTTGCGGATGACATAGTTTTGATCAATGAGATCCGAAAAGGCATTAACACAAAGTTAGGACTTTGGAGGGATGTTCTAGAATCTAAAGGTTTTAAAATTAGTCGGACTAAGATAAAGTATATGGAAGGCAAATTTAGTAATAATAGGAGTAGAAACAAAGAAGTAGTTAAAATTGAAGGCTAATACCAAAAAGTTAGCGCTTTTGATTTATTAGGTCGATAATCCAGGAAAATAGAGAGATTGAGGAAGATGTCGCACATAGAATTAGAGCTGGGTGGGCAAAGTGGAGATATACACTAGAGTTTTATTTAATCGCCGCATACCAATGAAGCTGAAGGGTAAGTTCTATACGACAGCCATGAGACTAGCTTTGCTTTGTGGGACGAATGTTGGATGGGATGGAATGTTGGGCGGTCAAGAAACAACATATCCTCAGAATGAGTGTAACTGAGATGAGGATGTTGAGATGAATGAGTGGTAAGACAAGAGGGGATAGAATTCGAAATAAATATATTCGGGAGAACTAAGGTGTAGCTCCAATAGGCAATAAGATGAGAGAAAGTACGTTTAGATGAGCTGGCCATATGCAGCACATACCCAGTACAACGTCTGTTAGGAGGCGCGAGTTAATTCAACTGGAAGGCTCAAAAAGGGTAAGGAGTAGGCCGAAAAGGACATGGTTGGAAGTAGTGAGAAACGATATGGGGACTTATGACTTCACTGAGGGTATGACCCTTGATAGAGCAGAATGGTGGAGCAGTATTCCTGTAATCAACCCCAAATGGTTGGGAAAAGGCTTTTTGATGATGATGATGTAAACTTTTCTGGATTGGTTTTGACTTTGGACAGGTTCCAACCACTCAACATTGTTAATTATACATTATTAATTTATAATTTATGATTGATGTCATATTCTCAATGCATGTTCGATACCCCACCAAAGAATGTTATTAGTTTATTGAGTTGATATTCGTGAAAAGGTCTTTGGAGTTAATCGAGGATGATATTCACTTTTCTTGCAACTTTTGTTATTAGTTTATTTAGTTGATGACCGTGGAAAGGTCTTTGGAGTTAATCAAGGATGTTATTGCTGCTTCATCATTTGGTCTGAGACGTTGAGGATGTTATAGAACTTTTGTGATCTCTACACTTTTGATACTTGGATTTAATTCTTGTAGCAGCCTTTTTGTGCTTGTTTTTGTGCATTTAGTTTCTAAATGGATACTTATACATTTAGTTACTTAACAACTTTTGTGGATGCTTACAAGTTATGTATATACATTTATTCCTTTGGCACTGTCTAAGCTCTAAACGTACATGGTTCCATGTATGAGAATAACTTAAGTTTGTATAATTTGATGAAGGGGCAAATGTTTGAGCTGAATATTTAGCTCTGTTGGAAGGAAAAGAACACAGTTTCCCTTGATCTTTGTGATAAAGGTAATTTGTTGGAAATTCTAGTCATTGTTGGTTGAAACAGAAAAGTAAATTCCTTGTTTCTTTTCAAGCTTCTGTGTTGTTTTGAACTTTGGATATCTTGTTTATAAAAGAAACACCGCCATGAATTGCTTACATTTAGCATTTTGTTGAAAATTGCCCATTACTTTGTATGGGAAAATTGATTACGTTTAGCATTTAGCATTCTTTAAGCCACTATTTTTCTTCATTTGTACCATTGTAAAGACTACAGTATGGCAGTCTTAGAATTATAGAAATAGTTTGCTTCATCCTTGGCAGTTTTTGATCGAATGAATGGGCAGAGGAGAAGAGATGGAGAATGATAATAAGAAGAAGTATAGTATTCTTGTCCCCACCTACAACGAGCGTCTCAATATCGCTCTCATCGTCTACCTCATCTTTAAACATATCAGGTCTCTCTCTCTTCCTTGGTTCATTCCCTTTCTTCAACGATCTTTAGCAATTTCTCTTTCTCATTCTGTCCATAACAACTTATTAGACAAACAGAGATTTCACACTATGATCGAACTCAATTGATCTTATTTTTTTTAATAAGTTCAATTGATCAGCATAAATTAGTTTAGTTCCATCATTTTTCTTTCCATTCTTCTTCTCTGTCAATTTTTGCTCTTTTTTTTTTGCATTGGAGTTTCTTTTTTCCCTATATTTTCTCTGTTTAATAGGAGAACTGGTTGAACTTAATTCAGAAATTTGTACAATTTAATTTTTATTTTCTCAGGGCTTTGAAACAGGGCCAAGATAATCATAAGTTTGCTCTTATAATAGTTTTTTTAATACATTGGATGAAATTAAATGAACAATTCATAATTCAATTAGGGTTTGGTAGATAGAAACTTCTAAGTTCTTCATTTCTTTATCCGGAGATCTATGCACCTACCTCCATATAAGTATCTTTGTAGATAAATCAAGATTAGTACATTGATGATGATGTACGACTTGAATGCAAGAATCCTTTCAAGCTTAGGGCATATTTGTTTATCTATGTTACAAAGTCCTGTCATGAGGGACATATACAGCATGATATGTATTCTTCTTGGTGAATAATAGGAACAAAAATACTAATCTATATGATAAATAACACCAATATATTGTGTTACTTGAAACTATGTTGACCAATGTTTACAGAGCTGGGCTCAGACTTGGACTCGCCTGAGTCTATGACGAATCCGAGTTTGATTGGGGAAGATTTAATAAAGAAAATATCAAATATCATATCCGGAAGACGTGGGGAAAGTCCTTTGTTTTTTTTTTTTAAAGATATTGTTAAGGAGAAGTATATAAGTTACAAAAATCAGCAACCTGCATATCAGGTGCAATATACATGGGCCCCACTGTTTGTTGGGCTATACAAAAGACCTAGAAAATCAAAAAAGCTTTACATTCTGTTCCATATCTCAAAAAAGGGGAACCAGGAGCTCAAAAAGTTACCAAAATGGTTCCAGGTGGGTCGTCTCGGCTCACATCTTTGTTTTAGTGAGTTCATCTGCTGCTGCATTTGGCCTCATGCCATATATACTTCCATGAGATGTGCATATCCTTGCAAAGGTGGAGAATTTCGTTAAAACTATGTGCTCATCTCCAAGGGCAGTCTGAGAGTCCAGAAGTCCATGTAATAACTTTTTTGGCGTCTCCCTTGATGAGCAATTCAGTGCTCCAGCTAGGATTGAAATTCTTGAGACCTTCGAGCCGAGCAAGGGCCTCTGTCGTGGTGGAGTTGGCATGTTCGATGAGTTTAGAGGAGTGGAGTGTCCGTCCTTCATAATCGCGGAAGATACCCCCAATTCCCGTGGGGCCCGGGTTGTCAAGAGAGCAACTGTCAAAATTGAGTTTGGTCTGGCCAGGTTTGGGGTGCCTCGACCGGGATGAGTGATGGATGCCGGTGTGTCTTGAGTGTAGCAAGGCTTGCCAATTTTCTTAGAAGTCGGTGTAGGAGAAGTGCTTGAAATATTTGTGGTTTTTTGCCCAAAAGATGACCAGGTCTTTGATCCAGTCATGCAGTGCCTCCACCCTGGCTTTTTCTCCTTGGAATATCCTATTGTTTCTTTCTATCCAAATTACCCAGAGCATGGCTGCGACTGAGGCACACCAGAGTAGAATCCCTGTCTTCTACCAGGGGGTAGAAATGAGGATCTGAAGAGGTGTGCAGTAGATTTAGGGGTTACCAATGACCAGTTGAAAGTTGCAAAAGGTTTCCCCAAGGTGCTGAGGTCACATTATGATGGATAAAGAGGTGGGGATTGGACTCCTCATCTGCAGTGCATATAGCGCATCTGTCGGGAGTAAACACACCCTTTCTTTGAAGGTGTTCCACTGTCAAATTGGAGGCGATTGAAGCTTGCAGTAAAAAGAGGGAACTGAGAATAGGCCTGATGGGGCAGCAGACCAGATAATCCTATCCTTTCCTAGTGGGGGAAGAAAAACAGATTGTAGGAGGGAGGACAATGCAAGGAAATCTCCCATTTCGTTGTCAGTTAGGGGCCTTCTGAAGTTGGGATTCCAGATTCTTGAGGCCCCCCAAGTGTCGAAGTGTTCTGTGACTGTGCCCTGGGCATTTTGGGCAAGGAGGAAAAGATTGGGGAAGAGCTCCTGAAGGGGGTTGTTGCCAATCCAAATGTTTTAGCCCTGAATCGCCTGGCTCACAATCTGACTTGAGCAAGTCTTGACTTGGACTGGCAATTTTTTAATCTCTGGTCGACATAACCTTAGTTACCAAAATGGAGCTTGTAAGTGATGTATAGTGATTTGATTTTCCCACATTTGGATTTCTTCTGAGTAAACACAAACTATGTCTAGATACACAATGTGCATTCCTGCAATCAAATGGTGCTTACTTTATCAACATGGCGTAAGGATAAAGATCAGAAACCCAAATTCCAGAAGTGTTTTTATCGACCAAATGACTTCATTTTATAAGATGACCTGGCCTCATTCTGCTTTACTGTTGGACTTGGGTAAAAAAAAGGATGGCGTCTTACATTTATGTACTAAACGAGGAGCTGAGGGCTTCTCAAGATTGGCATCAGTTCTGGACACCCTTCTTTTTTCTATGTAGAAGGGACTGAGTCTCTCACATGTTTGAAATTTGAACTCAAGCCTCAACCTCATTAGAAAAGGAAAAGTTTATTTTTGTATTATTCCTGCATACGCACATAGCAGCCTTAGGTGGGTAACTAGGTGCTATAATTTCCATCTTAAAGGATGGATATCGAGAACGGGCTTTAGGCAGAGGTGGTCAGGATGCCCGATGCTACAACATGAAGTCTAGACTTCCTTTTTCACCCGGTCCCAAGGTAACATTCAAAAGGGGAAAAAACAAAAAAGGTTATTCAACAAAGAACTACTCAATTTGAGTCTTCAATCTATAGTCATTCCATCAACTCTTGCACAAATTTGGTAATCTGTGGAGTGGTTGGAGCAGTGGTACACTTTTTTAAGAGAATGCTAGATCCCCTTGGCATTGTTTTTAAGGAAAACATATATATAAGGTGTCAACCTTATATTGTAGAAGTAAGGCCGATTTTAAAAATCCCTCAAAAAAATGTCATTTAGATGTTGGGAAACCCTCCTATTGATCATCTCGACCTCAAGATGTATCAACATGGAAAAAAAAAAGATTTCAAGTCTCAAAAATAGTATATCTTGTAACACATTATCTAGACTGTCCATTTTCAAGTGCTTATGGATGTGCTTGATCTGAACCATTTTTAAAGCTCAAAATTTTACAGTTAGAGGCGATAATAGATTTTTAGGTGATTCTAATAATTTTTGACACCGGAATTTCATCTCTCAACAAAGTTTAGAAGTGTGCCGTACTTTGAGTTTTAAAGGTTGCAACCTTATGCAAACCACCCTTTTTTTAATGTATATGGTGAGTTTATCAGTTTTAATAAGTCCTGTTAATTGCATTTAGCTGCAGCTCAATGGATCTATCCCTTTAAGAAAACTATACCTGTATGAGAACTTTTAAACATGAAATGCGGCCAAGGCATAGTATGTTCTATACAATCTAGCAGAGATTGATACATTTGTATCCAAGGAAGCATTTGAACTTATATAGAAGTTATATGATAGGAATTTTGCAGAAAATGGGTATGCTTGAGTTACCAAATTCTATATTATTGGAATAGCTAATGAAACTACTACATATTTTATAAAATGGTAGAAACTAATTGTACCAACCTAAGCCAGGTGGAGAGATCCAAGAGAAACAGCTGAAAGGAGCCAGAATCAAAGAAATACCGAGAACAAATACTGGAGTCTCCTGATTGTGGCCCCTGTATTGTGTTTAACTTTATTAATTGAATAAATGAATGACGTGTGCCTGAAAACAATTGGTTAAATGTCCACAATCTCAATGAAACCCTTTATTCGCCTTGGCTTTAGGGATGTGGATTTTGAAGTCATTGTCATAGATGATGGAAGTCCTGATGGAACTCAAGACATTGTCAAGCAACTGCAGAGGGTCTATGGGGACGATCGCTTGGTAAGATTGATAAACTATAATTTATTTCTTGGTTGTTGTCATATACCTAAATTCAAATGATACCATTTATGTGATTCTCTGCCTTGGAGAGTGCAGTTATTAAGACCAAGACCAAGGAAACTTGGGTTAGGTATGTCTTATTTCTTGTAACTTCTATAAGAAAGATATAAGAATATGGTTTATGAGAATGATTACAAAGTAACGTTAACACCATTATGAACTTGGAGCATTTTGGCAGGAACTGCTTACATTCATGGCTTGAAGCATGCATCTGGTGATTTTATTGTAATCATGGATGCTGATTTATCTCACCATGTGAGTTGTTTTGTCCTGTGATCAATGAGTAGAACTTATTTGGATCATATATTATTCATTTCGGAAAGTGCTGAAGTTTTATTTATTTATTTATTTTAAATTGTTTACTATCAGAAAGTGCTGGAGTTGCCTGGTTTCTGATGTTTATTGCTTTGTTTTTGCAGCCTAAATACCTACCAAGCTTCATCAGGTGTGTCCATTGCATTCATTTAAGTTTCCTATCTATGACCAATTGCTACTTTTACAGATACTAAACAGAACATTAGTCATAATATACGCTTCAAGTTTCAGCAAGATTATTTGCATCCTTGTGTCTTCATTAGTGCATGTTAAAAAAATGGGAATCCATATAGAAGAGGAAATATTTTTTTGGGTGGATTTCAACATTTAAAAATTGAGTAAAATACTCCTGAAATGTACTTGGAAAAAGCAATGTTTCACACTGAATATTTGCCTCTGTCCAGAATATGTGATTCACAAAATGATAATTCAGGATAATGTGAAAGTCTGCCTTGGAAATTTAGGTCTAAAAAATTCTGGGTTGCCTAATGTATGAAAAAAGAAAAAGGAAGTGCAGATTTGCTTGGAAACTGTAGATTTGGAACGATCTGCCATATTTGAGGTTCATATTAACTCATCACACAACTTACTATGTTTTGCCTTTGATTTTCCATGAAGCATTTGGGCCAAATTTTCATATTAGCAGTTCAAGTATATGCACAATAATATTTTAATTGTTTCTGAAAATTATGTGTTTTGTCTTCTATTGGTGATGTTTCTCATCTGGTTGGGCGTAATAGTGGTATTATGCTCCTCTAACATTTTTCCTCTTTGTTTAGGAAACAGGCAGAGACTGGTGCCAGTATAGTTACAGGCACCCGATATGTGGAAGGTGGTGGTGTGCATGGTTGGAACCTTATGCGCAAACTGACAAGCAGAGGAGCCAATGTGCTTGCACAAACACTTCTTTGGCCTGGTGTATCAGACTTAACAGGCTCCTTCCGGTATGCCATTTAGCCTTGTATGTGCAGCATAACCCAATGGACTATGAAAAACTATAATGCGTTGGGATGGTTCACTGTCTCATGAAATGGTAGTGATGGAGAGAGAATACATCCTGCCAGAACTGGACATGACTCTTAAGGTTGTCTTACTCTCTCTCCATTGCGCTATCGGTCTTTTCATTGGATGGTAATGACACCCATGACTATGGTTTTCAATAGTTCCTTGGATTACAGTATACTTTCCCTCTAAATTTATGGTTCCCACATCTTTTTTGATTTAGAGCCTAAAAGTTCTTTACCATGTGAAAGGCTCTACAGGAAGTCTGTCCTTGAAGATATCATCAAGTCCTGTGTAAGTAAAGGATACGTCTTTCAGATGGAAATGATAGTGAGATTGTCACGCAAAGGCTACCATATTGAGGAGGCAAGCCCAAACACTGGGACTATCTGTAGTTTAAATTAGGAAATTTGTACCATAATCTATTTGAGTAGATTCTACAGTACTCCATAGGGACATCCATCGTCCATGCTCCATGATGTCAGAGATGAAATGTGCACTAGTGCATGTAATGGTGGGGCCCAATATGATACATCTTCACTCTCCATTAGCAAGGACTGTGGTGGAATGCCCTAAGGAGTACTGTATACATACGACATTGGATTGTGGTTTTTTCCATTACAGCTACAGTAGATGATATATGATTTGTGTGCAGGTACCAATCACATTTGTTGACAGGGTTTTTGGAAGTTCAAAACTTGGCGGTTCTGAGATTGTTGAATATCTTAAAGGCTTGGTTTATTTGTTGCTCACTACATGAGGAGAATAATTTTTGCATATGGGGTCTTTTGGTTCGTAGAGATATTCTTTCTAAATCCTTTCATACTTCTGTGTCAAGTAAATCCACTCATTGTATGCATGTTATTGTTTTTCCTTTGAAAATAAACATTTTCTATTAGTCTAAAGGAGAAGGCACCCTCTAGTTGAAATTTGTTGATTGTGCTTTGTGAAATTGGTGCTGAAATTTTCCTCAAGGTTAAAAATTTTGAATTTTTGCCTGTGGACATTACGAAGGTTTTGGATTTGGCTGATGTCCGAGTGGGACATAAGAAGCACTTCTTGGAGGCTTGAAATTTTACCCCTCCTATGTCAACATATTGGGCAACTTCAATGACATACTGGATTTTCTTTGTCATACTTGATTATTTAAAATCTCCAAAGTTTGTATTGGGGGATTTCAAGCCAAGCATCCGCCCCTGTTTTGTTAATAAAAGAAATGCTTTGATTTTGAATTTTAGTTTTCATTTGAACTTATTATGAGCCGGCATTTTCTGTCATTTTTTGGCAATTTTTTATTGGTATCTGTAGAGCACCCATGACTGGATTGAAATGGCACGACAAGCAGAAACATGACCACTAAGCTTGGAAATTAAAAAGGTTACCCATTGATTCTTGTAAACAGAAAATGCCCTGTAAATGTATTTGTTTGACTTATGATTCCACTATGACAGTTTCCCTTCTAAAATGCTGTTTTCATTTGACATGTGAATGAATTCCATTGTTAGATTTGTCTTCCAAATCCTGCTGTTATCATGAAATCCAGCTTTTACCTTGGCTCATATTATGTCAGTTTGATTCATTTGCTTATTATGTCTCTCACAAACACGCACTCCATCTAGCGTTGTTTGAGACTTGAGAGCAATGTTTTAAACCGTGTTTGATTACCCGGGCGAGTCAACTCGGGCTTGTCCAAGAACTCAAGCTTGTCACCTTGGCGAGCTTGCTTATCCCCGAGTTGGGGGTCTAACTCGGGAATCTTAAAAAAAGCTAAAAAAAATTATACTTTTTTAAAAAAATAAGAAATCTATTTTTGACGTGTTTTTTTTTTGTTTCTATTATTTTGGCGGAGATTGAAAAGTATTTTGGTCATGAATACTTATTGTTACTTTTTCTTTTTCTTCTTTTTCAATTATTTTTAAAATATTCTTGTCACAAATTGATTTTGTTCAAAATCTATTTTTTTATTACTTTTTAGAAAAATTACTTACATATTCATTATAATTTTCGTTATTATAGCTCTACCGAATAGTTTTCGTTATTACCACCGTGTCTGTTTTTTTTATGTCAAAAGACAAATTTAAAAAAAAGACCCCCTCGGCCTTCTCAGGCTTAATAGAGCGTGGCCATTAGAGGTATTGTTGCCCTTTTATTAGGTTGGTTGCTTGTGAGATTAGTTCATTTGATACTCGTAGGTATTCCTGTACAATAAGTACACGAACTACCTGTTTTTCAACCACCCGATCTTATTAATAATAATAAAGGGGAATGATTAGGGTGTACCTCTGTTAGTAGCATTCTTTCCCCTTCAATTCTCTTTCTTTGGAGGTCGTATGAGCCATAAAGCCAGTGCGAATCTTCTCCTCTCTCACTCGAAGAAAGAAGACTTTCATGGGCAGAGCGAAGGAATTAGAGTGGATTAGTCAGAGGTTGGTTGCGTCGCGCTTTGGGTTCTTACACTGGCCATACGTTGATCGGCCAGGCCCAAGAGAGAAACAAGTACCTTCCGTTGGGTCCTATGTTGTAAAGCAAAGAGAAATATTTGAGAATCAACCACTCATCCTAGTAAGGCAAGCAAAGCCCTCATCGTTCTGCCAGGGAACCCGCTTGTGGGTAGGAAGAGCCAAGCAATGGACGGGTCCCAATCGAGAGTTTCCTCTCACACTAGTGGGAAGGACGTCTACGGCACAAGCTAGAGTGGAGTAAAAAAGAATATGAGGCTGACGGCAAGGCGGGCGCAGAAGAAACCGTACAAGGGTTTTGCCGGGCCTAGACATGAGAAAAAATTTCAAAAGGATTTTTTTGATGTAATGTGTTCAATCGAAGTTTGTTCTACTTAACATAGCGATGTTGGAAAAAGGACAACGGACAAAAGCCATATGTATGTCCTCCAAAAAAGAATGTGCCACAAACAACCCTCGGCACACCAACAAGCACCCAATGTTAATGATTATTTTGATGTGCTTGGCACAGCACTCTGGACCACCGCAGTCTCCTTGAGATAGAGAGCTTTATCTCATTAAAGGAAGTGGAGGAAATAAATCACCCACATAGAATGAGAGACCACTACAACCTTCTCATGGCTATTGTTTACAAACATGCATCAAATTGATTCTTCAGGCTACTGAGGATTTGGTCAAGTACTTGCTCATTCCCGACAAAAATTCTTTTGTTGAACAACCCAATTCAAAGTATTTTCCGTTGTTCAACAACAATTTTTTGTTCTTGTGGCCTATTTTCTCTACCTCTCTCAAGTCATAGTTATCCGATAAAATCAAAAGGGAGCAACTAGTTTGAGCCCCTAAATTTAGGAGAAATCTTAGGGATTATGAGATTAGAAGATTAGGAGAAATCTTGTGGTGTATTATCTCTCTACTTGTTGAAGTATTCTCTCTCTTCCTCTTTGGAGTCATGGTTATCTTATAAAATCAGGGGAACAACTAGTTGGAGCTTTAAATTTAGGAGAAATATCAGGATTATGAGCATACCCAAAAAAGACCTTGGGTGAAGGGGAGACAAGAGAGTTTAAAAAAAAAACCATTTTTACCCATGTAATGTAGAGAGAGATAGAGAGAGGATACCCAGATCCACAAGAAAAAAAATTTCAATTATTGAAGAACAGAAAATTTTAAATTTTTGGTTATTCAAAAACCGAAAGTGACTGAAAATATTTTGAATTCGGTTGTTCAACAATTGAAAAAGAGTTAAAGTCATTTTTTTAAAAAATTCTCGTTTTGACATGGAAAAACAGACATGGTGGTAATAATGGAAACTATAACGGATGTGTATGTAATTTTCGATTACTTTTTTAACTTCATTTAGATGTGTTTTATTTAATTTTATTTTAAATATTTATTTATTTTTTATTTTAAAAGTTTATTATTATTATTATTATTATTATTATTATTATTATTATTATTATTATTATTATTATTATTATTATCATTTTTTAGCTTGGACCGTACTCGGCCCAACTCAAGCTGAGTTACTTGGACGTTCAATCCCTGGTTTTAAACCCAAATCGGGGCTCCCACCCTATACATATCCAAATTTGCCTGATCGATGAAATATTGCATAAAAAAACTCAAATGAAAAAAATTATATTGGGCAATTCCAATAAGGTCATCCACCCACTTTCCAGATTGGTGATTCTAGATCTAGATTGTGAAGTTTACAACTCTACTTTTTTTGGGACTTAAAATCTTGAAAATGGACGGTCTAGATAAACACATGAAAATCTATAAAAACATGAAAATCTTGAAAATGGACGGTCTAGATAAACACATGAAAATCTTGAAAATCTATAAAAACATGAAAATCTTGAAAATGGACGGTTTAGATAAACACATGAAAATCTATAAACACATGAAAATCTTGAAAATTGACGGTCTAGATAATGTGTTGTAAGATGCATTATTTTTGGGACTTAAAATCTTTTTTTTTTCATAGTAATACATCTTGATGTCGAGATGATCAATTAGAGAGATTTTCAATATTAAAACAATATTTTTTATGATTTTTGAGGTGCATCTGTAGTTCTACATTTTAACGTTGCAACCTTATATTAACTTTTTCAATATTAAAATAGCCATGTCTGTGGAATTATGAACATCTTAATTCTACAATCTAAGGTGTCAATTTTATATAAAATTTTTCCTTATAATAATGTTTTTCCATATGTCAATAAGTATTTAATGGATACAAAAAAATGATATACCTGTCTTGTTTTACAATTTCTCGTCCGATAACACGAATAAGATCTATAGGTTGTACCGTTATATATTCAGAAATTTCATCGTTGACGTTAATAGCATATATTTTGTGCGGCTGCGCCTCCTACTCACAAGTGATACTAGTGATTCAAGGAAAAGAAAAAGGGTTGTTTAGGTCAATGGATCTCAATATCAATTATGAGTCTCAGTTCACGCCTCGTTCCACCATCTATTTGTACTGATTTAAAAAAAGGACCTGGTTTCTATGCGGCCAAGCCCGCATGTATAAATGCGGGCCTCTTAATAAATCTATTTTTGAGATGGATTTTAAGACTTAATTTTTAAGACATGTAATCTCTAGCATGAAGAGCATGAATATGAAAAAATAAATAAATTTTAAAAACTAAAAATAATAACTCTAGTAAGAAAATATTTAGACCGTTAGTTTCCATTGTTTTTAGATGGAACACCTACTTGCATCCATCTTTAAGATAGATGCTTTACACTTTCTGGACCGCATATGTAGAAATGCGGTCCAGCCCACATAGAACAATTTTCCTTAAAAAAAATTGCTCTCTATTAGGGTTAAGAATGGTTTGGATTGGATCTGGATCTGGATCTAAATAGTATATATAAGATTTGGATTTGGATCCAATTAGATCTAAAAAAATTATTTTATTTATTCTTTTATATCTATAAAATAATATATAATAAAAAATGCTATATAACATATATGTCTAGACATATAATAATATATATTATATTAATAACTAGAGTGGATCCAGATCGGATCCACTTGTACCTAGATCAAATCAAAATTAGTATTCATATCCAAATTTTGAATCAAGATCCGACTCGTCTGATCCAATTCTTGGATTTACACCTGGATCTGAATAGGATCCAAACCGGCATCTTTTGCTTTGAGGACTTGTTACATAAATTTCACTCCTGTTTCAGGTAACTCCCCATCAAAGTGGAGATCGACATAGGTTAAAGTGGTCATGAAAGCTCATGTCGACCCATTTTGTCTCAAAGTGTCCTGGTCCTCCTTGGCTTTTTCCTTTTTCATCTTGGGTGCGGTTGTTGTGAGGCCGCGGTTTTACACAATTTTGGTAAATTAGACATGTTAAAGCCTTTTAGTTATAAGGCATGAAGCGCTTGTGATGGCATGCAGATCTTTTTATGCCATTTGAGAAGTTGAAGATCTAACATGTTTGGTTCATGTGAAAATGTTTTTTAGAAAACATTTTTACATGAAAAAACTCTCTCATACAGTTAAGTATGATAATATTTTTATACCAATCGGTCTTAGTGCATCTTTTCACATCAATTAACATAATTGAAGTAAAAATATTCTCCCACTTGACCACATTAGAAAAATTTTTCATAAAATATTTTTTAGAAGATATTTTCACGTGAAGTTTATGGATATGTGAAAACTTGGAATGGATGATAAGAAGAAGGTACTGCAAGATGGATAATCTTTAGGACTTAAAAATCCATTTTACCTTTTCAATCCATGATCGTCGAGGTAGTGGGTTAAATTTGAGGTGATGATTTATAAAGCAAAGGCCTTGGGAAATACTTTACCTAACAGGGAATACAAAGTAATATTATATCATAAAAGCGTATGGTTTGTATAAGGCTGAAGCCACACCTTCAAATAGTGTCAAAACATATTGATTCAGTACAAAAAGTCTTTGTGATAGCCTGGAAATCTATTTCCATCTCTAATTATAAACTTTAATGGTGTACATCGAGCAGATCTATGAACACTTGAAAGTCTTGAAAACTAACAGTTTAAATAATACATTGCAAAATGCATTATTTCTAGGACTTCAAATCTATGTTTTCTTATGACCATACATCTTGAGGTTGAGATGATCAAATTGAGAGTTTTTCAGCATCGAAACAACCTATTCTAGTGAACTTTTGACGTGCATCTTAATTTGATTGTTTAGCGCCTCGTATAAAAATTTTTCGTTACAAAATATGTACCACAATCTTTTATTTTTTTTATTTCGAAACCTAGACCTAGTCAGGTCCAAGTTTAACCTAAACCTCATTAGGTTAGATCGGGGTCAAAGTTGACCCGAACACAACCCAACCCATTCCTAGGCCTAGTCACAATTTCTTTTATCTTTCTTTTCCTTCTCCATACTATTGAAAGAAGTGGAGTGGGAGACAGAGATGGGTGTGGTGGGGCTCGGTCCTATGGGGTAGATGGGATGATTAATTAGGCAATAATCTAATCTCAGTGTTGATGGGGCCTTAATGAGGCATTATTTTTATAAGCGTGCGGATTGTATAGAGCCTAGGCTTTAAACCCTACTTTCAGGTAGTGTCTAGAAATGTGGTTTTAATATTAAAAATCTTTGTGATAGCTTTAAAATATATTTTTATCTTTATTTATAAAGTTTAAAGCTTAAAAAATAGTGTAGATCTATAGATTTATGACAACTTGAAAATATTGAAAATTGATGTCGAGATGATCAAATTGAAGATCTTCGAGCATAAAAAATAACTTCTTCTAGTAAAATTTTTGAGATAAGCTCAAATTTGATTGTTTAGAGCCATTTCTTATTTTTGGATGGCTCAACTTCTTCTAGTAAAATGTTTAGGCACAACTTCTTCTATATAAGCTTTTCCCTTTCTATAATTAAGAATTTTCTTCACCCTTGGATGGCTACACTGGTTTGGATGGCTACACTGGTGTGCCCCCCCTTATTTTTGAGGCCTTAGGTGAGCACTTTTTTCCCTTCATATCTACCATTCACATTCTCTCAAGTCATGACAAAGAAGTTTATGGAAAAACTTCTGAAAACTATAAATAAATTAATTTTTTGAGCTCGATGAGAATAGGTTGTCTATTTCATAAGCGGTTGGACCCAACCCTTTAAGAACTTGAATTCAATTTTTTTTTTTTTGTATTATTCATGTCTTGGTGATGAAGATATAATCTACAAATTTCGATTTTTATTTTACTAATTTTTTTGGTCACTAGGTTTAAAAGGTTACATTTCTAAACTTCAAGATCCTAAAAAACCTATTAGATTTTACTTGGGAGTAAATAGATAATATTTTCATGAGTGAAACATAATTTTGTGTTGTGTTTTCTTTTCTTTTTTTCTAGATTAACGAATATAACTTAAATTTGGATACGTCACCCAAGCCAAAGGCCTACCCCAACACACGCTAAGTTTTAAATGTAGTAACTTATTGTGCCATATCTATCAATGACCTAAGAAACATGTGTCCTTTTATTCTCTATAGACTATGGAGTATGAAATGGTGGTTCATCTCAACCATCCATCCTCATCACTGACGGATGGGGAGATACTATTATGCAAATTCTATTCTGTGCAATAGTGTATAATTTACTAGGTGGACAGTGTGTGGTATGGTGTATTGTGGATCGTGTAAAGGAAGGGGGCATTTCAGTAATATTTTAGAAAAACCAGAAAAAAGGCTTCAGAAAAAAATATTCCAAAAAAAAAAGAAAATCAACGTCCTGAAAAATCGGCTCCGCAGTACGCTGCTGTCCTGCTTTTCTCTCTCCTCACAAAGAAAAGAGAGTGAATCTCTCTCTCTCTAAAAACACGTCAAAAGAGCGAAATCCATTACCCCCTCCTCTCTCTCTCTCTAAAAACACGTCAAAAGAGCTAAATCCATTCCCCCCCTCTCTCTCTTCCATGGCCTCCTTCAATGGAACCCCTCCAGTTTCTCTTACTACAACGAAGCCCTCACCTGTCCACCATCACCAACCACCTCAGAAGTTCACCTTCAACTCTGCAACAAAACCCACCTCCAAAAATGCATCGGCTTCTCACTCTTTATCCCCTAACTTCCCCTCTTTCTCTTCCTCTCTCTCTCATCCCCAAACCCAAAAGCCCAAACCAGAGCTTGGGTCCGATTTCAATGGAAGAAGGTCCACTCGCTTTGTCTCGAAGATGCATTTTAATCGCCCAAAACATGGACCTAAACGCCACAGCTCCGTGGCGGAAACCGCGCTGGGTCACTTGACCTGTGCAGATAGTGATGCAACCGTAGAAGCCATATTGACCAACTTGGTGTTTTCTGTCTCTAGCTCTGAGGACTTTCTCTTTCTTCTTCGAGAGCTCGGAAACAGGGGGGAGTGCTCGAAAGCCATTAGATGCTTCGAGTTTGCAGTCTCTAGAGAGAAACGAAGAACCGAACAAGGTAAACTTGTTAGTGTGATGATAAGCATATTGGGTAGGTTGGGTAAAGTTGATATTGCAAGAGAAGTGTTTGAAACTGCAAGAAAAGATGGGTATGGTAACTCAGTTTATGCTTTTTCTTCATTAATTAACGCTTATGGTCGAAGTGGCCACTGTGGAGAGGCCTTGGGGGTATTCGAAATGATGAGAAACTCAGGTTTTAAGCCAAATTTGGTCACGTATAATTCGGTCATCGATGCTTGTGGAAAGGGGGGTGTTGAATTTAGTCGGGCTTTGAAAGTTTTTGAAGAAATGGAGAGAGAAGGGGTAAAGCCTGATCGAATAACCTTCAATTCATTACTCGCAGTGTGTAGTCGAGGTGGGTTTTGGGAGGAGGCTAAAAAATGTTTCAATGAGATGGTTTTTCGTGGAATTGATAGGGATGTATTCACATACAATACACTTTTGGATGCAGTTTGTAAAGGTGGGCAAATGGAACTGGCCTTAGAAATCATGTCTGATATGCCAAGCAAGAATGTATTACCAAATGTAGTGACTTATAGCACCATGATTGATGGTTATTTTAAGGCTGGGCGATTGGAAGAAGCCCTTAATTTATTTCAAGAGATGAAGCTTGCTGGTATTAATCTTGATAGGGTATCTTATAACACATTGCTGTCTATTTATGCTAGAATGGGTCTTTTTGATGATGCTTTGAGAGTTTGTGGTGAGATGGAGAGGGCTGGAATTAAGAGAGATGCTGTTACATATAATTCTTTATTGGGTGGTTATGGAAAGCAAGGGAAATATGATGTGGTGAAGCACTTGTTTAAGGAAATGAAGGTTGAGGCAGTAAGGCCTAATGTATTGACTTACTCAACACTTATTGATATTTATTCGAAAGGCGGACTTCTTAAAGAGGCATTGGAGGTTTTCATGGAATTTAAGAGGGTGGGACTTAAGGCCGATGTTGTTCTTTACAGTGCACTGATTGATGCCTTGTGCAAGAATGGATTGGTGGAATCAGCCTTTTTATTGCTAGATGAGATGACTGGTGAAGGGATTAGGCCTAATGTTGTGACTTACAATTGTATCATTGATGCCTTTGGCCGCTCGAACCAGGTGAAAAAACTTTTTGTCTTTATGATTCCCATTTCCCTATTGAAAGAGAACTTTATCTCAACAATTTTCTGTTTTGATACGTAAAACATACAATAGTTTATATTGGGGAAATTGAATTTTGGAATTTGTACTCCTACTGTTATAAACTGGCATGGCTTTTTTTCTACAATAGCGTGAATTTTATTGCATGGATTGGGTTTTATGCATGAATGTCAGTCCAAAATTTAGTTCATATTATGGGGTAGTATTTACTTATGCATCTATTAGTGACATGCATTCTAAACTTTCATATTTGTTATATGTTTTAGTTTAAAGTTCTATGGAAGACCTTGTGTTACAAAGTTGATGGATGTGGTAGTAGTGTATAACTTAACATTTTATGATTCCAAATGCCATGTCCTTCATTCCTGCAGACTCAAGTTCAAAATGATTCTTATGAAATGGGGAAAGGCCCTTTGGACAGCAGCATGATTGATTCTTCATCTGAGATTGTTCTTGCTGAGGTGTCTAGGGGAATGGCAAAAGAAAATGAGGGAATTGATCATTTGGTGAAGATGCTTGGTCCGCCACCACTTGACAAAAGGCACCCTGTTATTAAAAACATGAAAGGGAAGTCACATGAGATGTTATGCATATTAGCTTTGTTCCACAAGATGCATGAGATGGACATAAGACCAAATGTGGTAACCTTCTCTGCCATTTTGAATGCTTGCAGGTAATCTCTTGCTCCGTTCTCTCTATTTTCTTCTGTGATATCTATGTTTAATATTTATCATTGCTCTCAATCCTTTCAATTCTATTTTTCTCATGGGCGTACAATTTCTTTACTGATCAGTGAGTGAACCACTATGTCTCATAAATCTTGGTATCAATTTCTATCGTCGAATATTTATTTATTTTTCTTCATTCTGCTATTATTTATCTGGTAACATACAAACTAAAGAATACTGAACTTCTGAATTCTGAGGCTTTCATGTTGCTTTTGTTCATCTTATAACATCATGAATTTCATGAGTACTTTTATCATGTCTTGTCATGTGTATGCATCGGAATTATTTTGAAAAACAAACTCAAGTTATTTTCACTTAAAGTCTACAAATGATACTAATTGCGGCGCATGTGTGACTTGCACATGAGAATGAGACCTAATGAATGAGAAAACACCAACAAAACAAAAGGTGAGCATGTTATGAGCATAGCACTTAGCATTGAACTACGAAAAACACTTATTCATTGACTCACACTCTTGCTCTATAATTTGTGTATCATTTTTATGGAATAATTTATGTTTCCATTGAAAAGAAAACAGAGGTAATGTAGGTATAAACTTTAGTTTCATGCCAGTTGAGTTAAAAAAAATCCTTAATATTTAAATATGCGTAGTATCATGGTAAAATGTGATAGAAGTTTTGACCTTCATAACCCATTCAAAGAAACACTTGGTTTAAGAACAAGTACATAGATGTCAATTTTGCTCCGATTGAGGTGAGTAATAATAGTGCTCGTGGGCATATAACTTCTGCCATCGTTCAGATTGGCTTAGGCAACCCACCTGTACTTTTTAAAAAAAAATTGAACCCTCCTGTACTTTTTGAGCACTCTTATAGACTGACACAAGCTCGACTTGCCAAGTTTTAAGTAGGCAAATTTATCAAATTACCCATGAGAGATTAACAATTACATATTTTACCCATATCTTTTGGTATAAATCTCAGAATACTTATAAAATAACACAGTCTTGAGTTGGGATACTTCCAAAAGAGTAAATTGTTAAATAGTTCGTCTCTTGTGGGTATTAGATACATTTCATTTTAAAATATCTTAGAGATACAGTGGTAGTTATCCTATAGAACTAATGTTTGAAAGGTCAAAGACTCAAAGTTGAGACAGTTGGATTTTGTAAAATGACTTGAGTTGGCTAAGTTGATTCAGAAATCAAGAAAATGTTGGGGACTTTAACAATCTTCATAACTAAGAAACAAGAAAGTTGGCAAAAAGTCAAGATGTTTTTATTAAGTCAACCTCCCTGAAACTGATGGGAGTCGGGAGACTGAAGTCGAGTGCTACAGATGAAAATGCAGAACCATATACATAAACTAATGTATAACATCATTTATAAAATAAAAAGAAACTAATAGTGCATTTGGAAATGTTTAGAGAAATTGCTATGGGCCTTGACACCATTTTTCCTAGCAGTTCACATTCATTATTTGGGAGCTCCAAGTAGCGAACATAATGTAAAACACCTGAAATTAGTGGTGTTTACATTATGTTAAAAAAGGGGTTAGGACCCCTTTTGGTCAACCATGCGATCCAAAGGTCATAATGGCGCCTGAAAGAATGTAAAGATTTAAAGTCATTTGGTTACATAACCAACCCCAATTGAAGGCTAATGCACAACCTAATAAGAGATTGTTGGAATCTCCAAGTGAACTTGCTTCACTTAGAGACTCGTGCTTTGTTTGATCCTGCCCCAAATGAAGTGAGGACCTAGATAAGTTGTTGGCAAACCTTTTAAATTTGGTGTATCCTATTACTATTCTTTTGAATTTATAGTGTTGATAATTGTTAAAGTATGTGTTCTTTTACTTGTTTACCTTCCCTAAAATTGAATATGTTCAGAGATTATTTTCCTGTCATATAGCTGTGCTGATTAGGCAAGAGCAAATGCGACGTAGGCTTGAAAGTTTATTGGAACTTATGCTGAACATTTTATTATAGGGGATTGGCTTACAAAGTATACGCTTAGGATTTTCTTTGCCGGATGAAAGATGTGGTTGGAAAACAATCTTGTTTCAGAACATATTTCGTGGGGATTTGGGTGTTGAGCTTATTATTTGGAGGGGGGATTTTGCGTTGTTGTTTCACCTAAGTACTTCTAGCGGATACTTCTCTATTGTAATCTGATATACACACATTTAATTCCTTTCTAGCAGCAGCATAAGATGGAATCTCCCTTTGTCACAGCTATGCCTGTTATTTTATCTGGTGTGACTCTAGATTGTTTGGAGCTCTAAATTGTTGATTCTCAATAGGAAGGGATATGTCTCATTTATAGTAGACTTTATTCCTTCCTAACTAAAGTTCTTCTCCCCGTTCTTCTAGTTTTGGTTTCTAATTTTTTTTTTTTTTTTTTCAGAAACTGAAAAGCAAGTGCTAATACTTGATTTGTGTGAATTAGTGTTATTATTATTTTGTTAACAATGCAAGATTGGTTCAATTAGAATTCTAGATACTGCAAAATGATTCGTGCATGGTTGATAAATGTAACTTATCTGGTAGTTTTCTAGAATTTAAGTTTTTAATCCATTCCTATATTTTCTTATGTTCTCAGGTTCTCATTGGTGCTTTATGCTTCAATGAAAAATGCGTCAGGCCAGATCGTCAGCATATAGAACGTTGGTTCTTATAAAAAAATAGTGTAGGATCTTTTTCTTTATTTGAAAACCCCTCACTGTAGGTTCTACCAAAACCAGTAAATGGCAACATTAATGCTTAAAATTTTGTTCTCTGATTTATCTCCGTGGGGAATTTTTCCATTCACATACTAGAGATGAGAGACCTATTCTTTGTGGCTCCTAAACCACAAAACCCTTCATACTCTTGCCTCGCAGCGAAAACTATACCTAATGAAATAGGATTAGGGCCTCAACAATTGAACCTCAACCCCATTGAAATAGTTCTTGGATCCTTCTCATCATCTCTTCTTGTTTTTGTTTTTCTATTTGTCTATTTTTGTTGTAAGCTACCTTTTATCCGATGATATGTTGCCTATATATGCCTTGCATGAAAACAGGAATCTAAATACTATATGATACTGTAGGCACACGTGTTAGGATACCTGACTCGATAACTGGGTCCTAGATTTGGAGATGTCGAGTCACTTCCCCCTCATAACCGTTTATCTTCTTCTGGTCATCATAATTCATGAGCCAACATGACATCTACCTTGTCTTCACAAACTCGTCTTTTTGACTGCCATGTAGCTCAGTATGACATTGCCAAATCTAAGAGTGAAACTTTTAACCCTTCTATATTGTAGCCACCAAACTTAATACAATGAAGGCCCTGGTAGCTTCATTCCACTCCTTGGATGAACTCAGGAAACACCATAAGCATGCCATTTAAAAGGTGTATGACCTGTGCATCCATTTAAAATATGAGCACACATATGTTTTACCCTCTTTAGCTATCCCTGTGCTCCATCTCTAGAAAGTTTACAAGAAAAGGTCTTATGAGCAACTGTTTAGGCTTTGGCATTTTTAGTTACATTCATAAACCATTTCCTAGTAGATTTTGTAGTAATCTCTTGTAATTTGTTGGCAAGAACTTTCTCTTTTTTTCCTCGCGAGTTAGTTGATGAAAACTTAAATCTTTACCTGCAGCCGTTGTCATTCCTTTGATGATGCGTCCATGTTGTTGGAAGAACTCCGTTTGTTTGACAATCAGGTATATGGTGTTGCACACGGACTTTTGATGGGTCTTAGAAAGGATATATGGGTGCAAGCACAATCTCTTTTCGATGAAGTGAGACGTATGGATTCTTCTACTGCATCAGCCTTCTATAATGCTTTGACAGACATGCTTTGGCATTTTGGCCAGGTATTATTGCCTTTAGTTGGAGTTTTAATAATAAAGTTTTAGCTTAAGTTGGAATAAATCATAACATGGCTTCAATTATCTTCTCTGTGTTCTCTTATTGCTGTTATTTAGCTGTATTTTTGTCACACTAAGTATTGCATAATTGTCTGAACCCAAAGATCACATTTTTTTTTAGTTGTTATTAAAATGGGAATTTTTCTGCCATTCTATTCATTCTCTTAATAGAATATGTATGGGATTATTTATTAAAAGAAATGTATGTTATTCAAATTTTGGCACTTTATGGTTATTAGAGCATTAAGAGGCCACACTGCCAGGTCCGCATTCCTTTTCTAAATTACATAAAAAAAGGAAAATAATATTTTACTTTAAGGTTGATCATGAGTTTTGTATGTGGTAAATCTTTGTAGAATTTGGAACTTGATTATTTAGCAATTATGCAACCTTTTTTTACTAATAAAAAGAATACGATCTCCGCAAAGTAACTCATGGAAGTTCTGCTTTTAAATAGAGATGTTGTTTGTCGAGAGATGAAAAAGCATTGCCAAATTGGGGAGGATGTTAATAATTTTGAAATTGGGGAGGATGTTAATAATTTTGAAATGCTTAACCTTTTCTCCCGAAGGGATACTATCTATCTGTATCAAAGTTCTATTATATGAGATGCTTCTCATATAAATTGCATGTGTGAGTTGAGCATCTATAAACTATACCCCTCTTATCTTAGACTTAGTTGAACTGGGTAGTGATTGTGCTTATTGTTTTGTGAATCTCCAGGCTCCTTTAGTCCCTTCCATACTTCCACCATGCAAGATCCATTCAAAAATGTTTTCTGTCAATTTGTTAAATCATTCAAAAGCTCCAGGAGTTTGTTGCATAACAATATGCTAATATACCTTTTGGGTTATTGCAGATCATGGCCACATAGACATTTACTGATTCTCTCACAACTCTACAGCTTCTAACTAGACTCATACTTTTTATGGACTTCTGAGGGCTATGTGTGTGTGTGTGTATTAATCATTTGCTTGTGAGGCTATATCTGTAGTGTAACATTTTTGTTTCGGATTAAAAAAAAGGAAGATGGTTGATAGGGCTGCAGCCCTATCAAAACAAGTAAAGCCTCACCTCATAACTCATCGAAAATTGCAATTCAAGCACTAGTAAGCCTTTTACATCGGTCATCTTAGCTTGAAAATTCTAGTTGTCAAAAAAAAAGGATTTCAAAGCTCTAAAATAGTGTATATTGTAATAAATTATCTATACCGTTCATTTTGCCCTAAAAGTAAGTGTTCATAGAACCACAAGATCTGTACCCTTATTTGAGTTTCTAATTTCATTGTCGGAGTTGGAAATTGATTTTCTAGTCATCATGAAGATTTCCTTAACCAAAAGTGCTTTTCGGATGAGGATTTGAGATGAGGCTTTATTTTGTTTTCATAAAGCCTAGGCCTTATAGAAACCTCATCCTAAAAAAATCAGGCTTATAATAAAAAACCTTGTGAAGCTTTTTATTCTAGTAGTGTATGGAGGGCTGTACCAATAAAAAGAAAAGAAAGAAGCATGAGAGGCGCTTTGCTTTTACTTTTTCTTCAAATGGATCCATTTTACTCTAATTCAAGAGAAGAAATTTGTTTTGAAAGTTAATACTTGAGATCGCCTTGTCTTGAAATCCCATAATACCAAGTTTTTGACAGAATTTTCCTGGCCTGAATTACTTCCTTACAGAGACGGGGCGCTCAGCTTGTTGTTATGGAAGGAAAGCGCCGGCAAGTTTGGGAGAATGTGTGGTGTGAATCATGCTTGGATTTACATCTTATGTCTGCTGGAGCTGCTCAAGCAATGGTTCATGCTTGGTTGCTAACTATACGCTCAGTTGTATTTGAAGGCCATGAATTACCAAAGCTTCTAAAGTATGGACTTCAATGGGAATTATTTTGTAACAAAATTATAATATAATCATCTCCCTTTTACTTCAAAATGGAAGGAAGCATACAAAAACCCAATGGACCATGGAACAAAATGATGGACGGTGATGGAACTTGCAATTAGGGTCATGTTTGATTCCAATCACCATGGTTGATGTCCCCAATTACATTGTCCATCTGAATGTCATTCATGATCCTTTCTTTGCTTCCAGTAGGTCCCATTGTGTCTCCCTCACAGTCCATCATTTCCGTGGACAGTGATAATGGCAATGGACCATGAATTTCCATTGTCCATTGGAGTATAGCATGCTTCCCCTATTTGGTTAAGTAGGTTCAATTTATTTCCTTTTGATATGTATATTAATCTAAAAAATCTAGAGATTGAAGGCTTCTGTTTTTGTGCAGCATTCTAACAGGGTGGGGAAAACACAGCAAAGTGGCAGGTGACAGCTCTCTTCGAAAGGCTATAGAGGCACTTCTTACAAGTATTGGGGCCCCATTTGAAGTTGCAAAATTCAATGTTGGAAGGTTCATATCAACGGGTGCTGTAGTAGGTGCATGGTTAAAAGAATCAAGGACACTCAAGCTCCTTATTTTACATGATGAGAGAACCGACCCTGAAGCAAGGTTAGATCAATTATCTAATTTGCAAGTACTTACTTTGTAGGAATCATTTTGAAATTGGGCATATAATATGGAAAGCATGTTTTCCTCTAGTGACTTGGAGGGTTGTTTACATAGCTCCCTGCATAATTTGTGATTGAGGAAGGGAGTAACTTGACATATTTTTCGGCTTCTATATCGTTCTGGCCAAATATGAAGATAGATTCCCTTGTAACATATGAATGTAGCTTGGGTTTTGGACAAGCAGCCCTTCAATTTTTGAGCAACAATGGTTTGGAGGGTCTGATCTTCCATTAATGTATGCCCCTGTGAATGCATTATGACCAATCTCATGTATTTAGACATTTTACCAAACCATTACTCATTTGTCCATCTGAGTTGTTATCTATTTTTATTTTTTTAAAATAACAATGAGACTTTCCTGTTATTGAACCTTCGATTTCTACCATTTCTCTATGTTAGCCCCTTATGATATTTAGAAATATTTATTTCGACCATGTATGGTGCAATATTTATTTGGAGATTAGTATTTGCTGATTGTTAACTTTGTGTGACCAAGAGAATGTTGAGATTGTGCATTCAAGTGTAAATCTGCCTGTACAAGCAACCAGTATGTAACAAAAAACATGTCCTTGGTTTGGTTACATGCGGCTCGTGCCTTTCATATCATCAAATGTATTTGGGAAGTTTGGCATGTCACACATGAAAGATCAAGCATTTAACATTCTGAAGAGTATACCCCCTCTAAAATCACAATGCCCAATAAACTCCGTAGTAGTCCATGAAAGTCCGTGGACCCCTTCAAGTTTAAAGAAAAAGATATTTAATCCCTTATGCACCTTTTTCATCGTTCGAACTCCAATTTTTATCCCTTTCTTATTTTTTCAAGTGACTCATTCATCAAAACCCTAACCCTAGAAAAACTCCCCTTTTCTCTCTCTCACCCATGAACTTTTTCGTCCCTCTCTGTCTCTCTCGATTTCCCTTCCCTTGAATCCTCATATCTCTCTCTTATCTAGTAAGCTTTACAAGTAAGATGACGCATCTTAAATTACATTTATATGATAGGGTTATTAGAAAAAAGGGTTTATGAAATTTAGAGGGGGATACGTCTTCCCTTCAACATTTCACCCATCAAACATTTTAGGGTGTGGCAGGTCTAAGGCTGAGGACCCAAACAATAAAAGTAAGGTGGCACCTTCAAATAGTGGTTTTTGTATTGGAAATCTTTATGATGGGTTGAAAATATATTTTTATCTCTAATTATAAAATCTAAAGCTTCAAAAAAGGTATAGATCGAGTAGATCTATGAACATTTGAAAATTGACGGTCTAAAAGATGCATTATTTCTAAGACTTGAAATCTATTTCTTCTCATGTCCATACAATTTGAGGTCGAGATTATCTATTTGAGGATTTTTGGGCATGGAAACGACCTCTTCTAGTAAATTTTTGAAGTGTGCCTTAATTTGAGTTTTTAGGGCCTCACCCTTATATGAACTTTTTCCGACAATTAATACCTACGATAAAGTGCCTTTGATGGGCTATCTAGAATTCAAAAGAATGACGGGCTATTTGAAATTAGATCAAATGAACCGAATAAGATGCTAAATAGTCAACTCTTAGAAGTGAAATGATAAATTTTACAACATTTTTTTTTATGAAACTGTATGATAGGTATTAGTATTTTATTAAGTACTCGTACCCCACATTCACCACCCGTACCTTTCCCCTGATGGTAGATATGAGAAACTGTTCCCGTTAAAAAGAAGAAAAGCCGGCATAAAATCCAAAAACCTCTCTCCATTGGTGGCGGATATTGGGTTGGAATACTATACATATATGAAAAATTCTTTTCAACATTTTTAAGCGAAAATAAATAGTGATTTTGCCTACTCTTATCACCGTCCAAATTTTATCGCGCGGTCACGATTGTTTGGTAGTGTTTTATTTTTCATTTTTTTTTATACAAATCGGAATGACTTGAAATTTGAAGGGTATGTACATTTTACTGAGGCGCGTCTAATAAAAATATAAAAAAAATTATCGGCAAAAATTAAATTGATCAAAATACCCCCAAAACTTTTTGGGGGTATTTTGGTCTTTTTTTACAAAATACTTTTTATAATTTTCGAAGATTCCCCTATTTTTGATGAATACACGCTCTAAATTTCAGGTCATTCTGATTTGTAGAAAAAAAATGAAAAATGAAACACTACTGGACAATCGTGATCGCGTGATGAACTTTGGACGGTGATGGGGTAGGCGAAATCAATGTTCATTTTCGCCTATAGGCCTTGCGTAGTGTTTTCCTATATATATATACTACACAATGTCTATAGGTGAAAATGAACAGTTTTCACCCATAGACTCATTACTGTCCGAAAAAATCGGGCGATGTACGTTTTTCGATTGCCACGGACCTAGCACATCTGTGGCGGTACCGTTACGGACATACTAGGTCTATGACGGTCAAAACATCCCACAGAACTACAACTGACGGCGTGCGGTCCATTGCGAGTTTTATCAATAAACTACTACGAACATAGCAAATCTGTGGTAGGGGCGAAACACTGTAGCACTTAGTCTATAGGTGTTTTTTAGGCGTTTTTTAGATTATATATATATATATATATAATGGATTCAATACACCCACTAGCTGACCGCTACAGTAAACGCCAACGGTTCAGATTGAATTTGGGCCGATCTAACGGTCACGACATCTTTTTGTGTTTGAATTTTTTTTTTTTTCTATATATCCAAATAACTTGAAATTTTAGGTGTAAGCTCTTCTCATCAAGGCGTGCGTAATAAAAATATAAAAAAAATAATTCACAAAAATGACCAAAATACCCTCGAAACTTTATAGGGGTATTTTGATCAATATTTTATGTAAAATATTTTTTTATATATTTTCAAAGATTCACCTTTTTTTTATGTACGCACGTTCCAAATTTCAGATCATTCTGATCTGTAAAAAAAAATTAAAATTCAAACACTACTGAACATCCAAGATCGTTAGATTGGCCTAGATTCAATTTGGGCCATTGGAATTTACTGTAGCAGTACACCAATGGGCTGACAGGATCATATATATATATATATATATATATATATATATATGTAGGGTAGGTGTGTTGTATAGGTGCTACTAACAACTCATAGTACACTCAATTATCATAACATGTATTTGTGTAAGAAGTTATTAGGATTATAC